TTTTTTTTTGGGGGGGGGTGGTTCCTTTGATAATTGCAGCATACTGGGCCCCTCAAACCCCTATTCCAAGCATGAAGGCCCCTGTATTACTTCGGGTCGCAGGATGGCTCAGGGAGTTGGCTCTTTGTGTGGTTGCAGTGTTAAGCGCTGTAGGCGTGGTAAGGGGGACTAGTTAGTATCTAAGGGCTCTGTTGAATATTTGGGGGTGCGAGGGCCTAAATCCTCAACCCTAAACCCTAAACCATCAACCCAAAAGCCTAAACCCTAAACCCTAAATCCTCAACCCTAAACCCTAAATCCTCAACCCTAAACCCTAAATCCTCAACCCAAAAGCCTAAATCGGGGTTCGGGGTTCAGGGCTCTGAGCCTGGAGCTCGACCCTGAAGCCTCCATTTTGAAGCCCGGTAGTTGCCTAACTAACATCGGGGCCCCTTTACCCTAAACCCTAAACCCTACCAGGACCCCCCAATGGCCCTTTAATAGAGCCCTTATGGTCCCTAATAGTGGGTATTTCGGGTATATTAGAGGGTAGTTGGGGGGTCTAGGTAAATCCCGAAGCCCCGAAGGCCCTGAACCACGAACCCCAAGCTCCAATAATAGAGGGGTCTGATTTGAAATAGTATAGGGGCCCTAATAATTAGAATCGGGTTTTGGGGCCCCTTTAAAGGGTTCCTTACAGGGTTCTATAAGGGCTACTATAAGGGTTTAGGGTGCAGGGGCCTTAAAAATGAGATTAGGGTTTTGGGGACCTTTATAGAACAAATATGAATCAGGAACCACCAAAAATAGTATTAGTAATTATTTAGGCCCCTATCTTAACCCCTAAACCCCCTAAGTTCGGATCGTAGCTTCAGGCATCTTTCGGATCGCACCTCCTTGGGCTGCAGATGCTGGCTCTCTAGCCCATCCAGGATGATCCTCAGGGCGATTGTGTGAAAACCCTAAACCCTGAACCCTAGAACCCTAAAGCCCTAAACTCCGGGGCTTGTAAGGGGCTTGAGGGGCACTGATAGGCTTTACTCTCGAGGATAATGTTGAAACCACCTAACTGCATTTTAGGTTGCACGGTCTTTGGGGTTCAATCTATCCTGAACCCCGAAACCCCGAACATGCTAGAAGCGGTAATTGGTAAAGACAAAAAGCTGACCCTTCGGGGTTCCGTTTCATAGTTGTGGTATGGCATGCGCCCAGACCCCATTCTAGTTGTTGAAGCTCCTGCGTTTCCCAGCTGTGGGAAGCTACTTGCCAAAAGTGCCTTTGATCGTCTCAGAATGCCGTCACGCCGTAAACTCTAAACCCATGCCCCTAAACCCTAAACCCTCAACCCTGAAGCCTGAACCCTACCCAGAGACTCTGCTCTTCTGTCTGTTCCTCCAGGAGTCTGGGGGCCCTGTCAATGCCTGAATCCCTCCACGCCACAGTCATGAAGGCCCTGAGCCGGGCCCTATGATTTTTTAAGTTTCATATAGTGTTTAGGGCTTTGGGTTTAGAGCCCAGGTTTAGGGCGTAGGAAAGCAATCAAACCATAAGCATCGAATTAAGGTTAAAGCCGCAGGCCTTTAAAACTCACTGCCCTGCTCTCGTCGAAGCCTACAGCTGTACCAACACCACTGAACCTGAAGTAGAAGCTTAAAAGTTGGGACATCATAATCATTATCCTCATGCCGTACGCGATCATGTGTAGGATACGGAATCCCAGCCACCAATCATCCTAAACCCATGGTTTCAAACTTCTGGAACTCACGATACTTTCGCGGAGAGTAGTTGCAACACAGAGCACGGAAGCAAGGAAGCTGAGGAATGCTGTTTCAGGAACTGAGAGTTTTGGGTGTTGGGACTCCGAACTTAAAGCTCTGGTTCGGTTTAGGGTTTAGGGTTGAGGGTTTAGGGTTTAGGTTGTAGGGTTTAGGGTCTATATTTCTGGTTTGCAAATTTAAGCTCAGTGGTTTAACTTGCTTCCCCCTCTCCCAAGGTCATACGTAACTTTCAGAGTAGTACAGTTGGAACAGAAAGCCAAGATCCTGATAAGCTAGCTGCTTGTGAAGTACTAAAATGCCCACTGCGACGCCCAAGTTGACCCTGTGTTGCCCTCTCGTCGTGTGGAACCCCCCGCTCCAGGTGCACAGCTTCCCGGCTTATGTCTTTGCCCATGTCTTGCCAGCGAAGACATAAGACCCTGCACCTCTGAAAATCCTGCCTCCTACAGTAATCATAAAGCTACATAGCAGAACAACAAACGAACAACGACTCCACCACCTAAACTCAAACTGCTCCTGAAAACTCCCTGTACCGTAAACCCTAGATAGCTTTAAAGCCCTCACCCGGACATACCACAAAACTCTAATACAGAAGCCTTAATAATTGGAATAGGGTTTGGGGGTATATTATACTATAACTGTAAATATAACATCGAACTCCCAAAAACAGTATTGGTAATTCTCTAGGCCCTTTGTTAAGCCCTGAATCCTAAATCTTCCCCTACGCACCAGGAAACATAAAACCCTCCCTCGGAACTCTAAAACCCCAAGCCCTCGATCTTAAACTCTCTAAACAAAACAGCAACACAGCACTGGCCAAACTCTGAATCCGATATGAATCTCCCGATGCCCTCTAAAAATCAAAAACAAACCCCTGAACCCTGAAACCCTTAAAACCCTGAACACCTAAACTCCAAACCCAAACCCTAGAGGCCCAAACCCTGAAGGCCCAAACCCTAAACCCCGAACCTCTGAACCCTAATGTAGGGGCCTGAATAGTTAGAATAGGGTTTTGGGGTATACTATACTATAGTTATCATGAAGAACCCACAAAATAATGTGTATTTCTTTAATATATATATATATATATAATAATAATAATAATAATAATAATAATAATAATAAATATATATATATATAATATATATATATATTATATATATATATATATATGTAGAAGTCTGTAATTATTAAGGCCCCTATATTATTTAAAGCGATCAAAACAGCCCTGGCCGGGCCGGCGACCCCGTGTTGCAGTCCGCTAACTGAGAGCGCTTCTTCAGCAAGTGAGCGACCTGTTTAGGGCTTCAGGGGTTGAGGGGTTTAGGGTTTAGGGGTTCAGGGGTTTAGGGTTTAGGGTTTAGGGGTTAGGGGGTTTAGGCTTAGGGTCTATTTTGGGGTTTGGGGCTTATAGGGTTTAGGGTTTTGGAGTTTGAGGGTTTAGGGTTTGGGCTTTTGCAGCAAGTGAGCGACTTGGCCGTGGTCTGTTCATGCCTTTTGGAGGCATTGACGTGCGGCTTAGGGTTCAGGATTTAGGGTTTAGGATCTATACGGGGCTTGGAGAACTGACAATTTCATAACAGTAATAATATTAATACTAATATGTTGTTTGTGCTGGGTGGTTCTCTAAAGCTTTTTGGAGAACTGACAGTTACACAGTGGTTCTTACGTTGTTTGTGTTGGGTGAGGGTTTGATATGCAAGCTTGGGCTCCTGTTCAAGCACTTCCTCGAATGGGCTTAGGGCTTTGAGGGCTGGTGGTTCTGAGGTTTAGGGTGCTGAGGTTGGTGTAGGATTTCCCAAGCTGCTGCTTTCTGCACGGGGTGGCAGGGTGACTGGGTGGTTTATAGGGAAGATTTCATAAGCCCATAATCATCTTTGCCTCAGGCTGTACGTAGTAGCACCTTCAACCGTTTTCTCTCAGGTTGCGAAACATCAATTGGCAGATTTTGATTTGTAGAAGCAGACCTTGAAACCAAGGTAAAGAGTCGTGGAAGCGTATCGCACCAACGAACGGAGAGCGTTTGGGAAGGAGCCCCAGGAGGTTACCAACATGTGAGATTTCCATGATCTTCAGAATATCAGCTATGATAAAGCCCCAAAGTGCCGGCCTCGCGAACGGTGACAGCCTGGCCTCCTGCGAGAGGGCAAGACTTGACGAGTTTTGGCTTCAGTTAAGGTTTAGGGTTTAGGGTTTAAGGCATTTAGGGTTTAGGGTTTAGGGTTTAGGGCGTTTAGGGTTTAGGGTTTAGGGATTTCTTCAAGCGGGATCCCTGACACGTTGAATTGGTTGCAGCGTCTTGCGCTGAATGCGCAGACTGCTACACCGACTCAACACAGCTGAAAGGCATGTCAAAACAGGTCTAAAACAAGACAGGAAGGCACAACTTACACACGATACACCCCTTTACCCGATCCCGCACAAGCCCCCCACCCCAAGCCAGCAACTCTAAATCATGACATCCCACATCCTAAAAATGCACAACCTCAAACCCTGGACAGCAAAAAATACAAAATCCAAATTCCTACCTAGACCCCGAATCCCTAAACCCTGAACCCTAAACTTTAAACCCCCAAAATCCCAAGCCGTAGCCCACCGTTGGCCTTGGAGCTTCTTGCCGGTAGTTCGGGCATTCCAGTCGTTATGGAGGCACGGCGGAGCCTCTAGAGGCTGCTTGCTTTGTTGTTGCTTACCTACAGGCTCCGTTGTAGCTCCTTTTTGGGGGATACCTTATAAAATCCTTAATATATATTTGGTTAAACCAAAAAAAGGAACTACAACGGAGACTATAGGTAATGGGCTTCAGGCTTTAAAATGGGAGTGTGGTTCTTGATGTCTAAGCTTTGAGGCTTTGGGGAAGGGGGCGGTTTGTCCATTGTTTGTTGTTGCTGTCGAAGTTTTTGCTTGGGGGAGTGGAGCGGAAAAGGAGACCCTGAAGTTTTGTTGTCCTTTCTGGTGGGTTGGGGACGACGGGCATATTTCGCAAGAGTGTGGCGATCGGGTTTTTAGAGCTCAAGGAAGCCGGTGGCCCCGGCTTTAAGGTTCTTGCATTGCTTAAGGACTTCAGGGTTTAGGGATCTTGGAGTCTACCGTTATAGGCTATAGGGGCCATAAGAGGGTATTCTTGCCAATGCTAATTAACCACCACAGAGACTTGAAAGAGATGATCGAGCACTGGCGTGCGTCGAATGCAAGATATTTAGCTTGGGAAGAGATGCCTCCAAGCGGCTACAGGCTTTGGATTTGGAACACGCCCTTAGCAAACGGGCCGGCAGTTGCCAGCATCCTCCCTTAAACCCTAAACCCTAAACCCTAAACCCTAAACCCTAAACCCTAAACCCTAAACCCTTAAACCCTCAGACCTTATGCCCTAAGTCACCATGTCGCTGCTGTTTGGTTGGGTACGACGGTCCAACATCGTCCAACGGGCAGAGTAACCTTCATGGAAGCCACAAGGATAAACTAGGGGCGTTCATAATTAGAACAGGGCACTGGGAGTATATTCGAGGATAGCTACATGGGAACTGTAAGGCTGGAGCTTGAATACCTCAAAAAACTCCACCTCACAACAGCCCCTTCTGTACGGGAATAGCCTCGTATGATCAGCAATTAGTCCATGCAATGTCCCAACCGCAGAAGCACCTGAAACTCTCAACCCCAAAACCCCCAACCCCACCCCAAACCCTGAAGCCCCAAACCCTAAAACTTAAAGCCTTAAAACTGCCCTCCCAGAGGCGTTTAGGTAATGTAGGGGCCTTCACATGTAGGGTCTTGGGGAGTTCCTCATTGTAACTGTAGTATAATGTACCCCCAAAGCCCTAAACCCCAAACCTCAAACCCTAAACCCCAAAGCCCTAAACCCCAAACCCTAAACCCCAAACCCTAAACCCTAAGCCCTAAACCACTAAGGCCCCCCCGCTGTCTTATTCTGGTGCCTCACGGGCCCAGTCCAGCACGGCATCGATCTTCAGCAGGCGCCGGCTGTCCTGCTAGTCTTTCTTAGTGGTTTAGGGGTTTGGGGTTTAGGGTTTTATAGATTTAGGGTGTATAACATGATGTAGCGATCTTTTTTACAGGGTCTAGGGTTTAGGGCATGGTCTAGGGGTTCTTCTAATAGATCTATAAAACTTCCATTTTTTTGCTACGTGCTGCTTGCTTCAAGGGTTTCTTTCAAGGCTGCCTAAATTTCCAGTATATTACCCTGACCATGAAAGGTCATCCTCTAGCTAACGATGCTGGGCTGCAACGTAATTACAGGATTGGCCGTACGCCTGCAAACGAGAAGCTTCCTGCACTTTTTCCGGTAGTTTAGGGTTTACACTACCCGAGGGCAAAGGTTGCCCCAGCCAAAAGACGACGTCACGTTTCCCTAAGGGTCCAAGTACCCAAATAGTAGGGTTTCAAGGTCCAAAAACCATTCAGAGTATGGATTTTGGGACCTAAAACCTTACTATTTGGGTACTCGGACCCTTAGGGTTTGGAAGAAGGAAGTGTAACGGAACCTTGCATGTAATTTGGCGAGCTGAGTCTTGAAACAATCGATCTAAAATTGGAACCCGAGCCCTAGCTGTCCCTCCTAAATACGGTCCTTGGTCCCCCAATTAAAGGCTCATGGTATACCTCCTTAAAGTGTTAGCATCATACCTTGCCCTAATATCTGGACAAGGTTTTGGGGGTATCCGTATGCTATAGATTACGCACACTATCTTTCAGGAAACCTGACAAATATTCCTGAGATTAAGCCCACTCAATAGTGCCATACCCATTAAACCGTTTTAGGAGCCCTTTAAAGGAACCCTTGAAGGAAGCGGCATCTCCGAACGACGCCGGGTCCTCCTTGGACAATATCCGGGCAAGCGTGGACATGCCGGACCTTGCTGGGTTTAGGGCCTACCTTAAGAACCCAAAACCCACTTTTTTTGTAGGTTCTGATTAAAAACCCTAACGTGGGATTTATAGGGACCCTACAAAAAAGTAGGTTTTGGGTTCTGAAGCTAGGGCTTGGCTTAGGGTTAAAAAGGCTCGATGATGAAGTTTAGGACGACAGAAAGCGGTCCTGAGTGAGTGGCCCTCAAACGGCCTGATAATCAGGTTTAGGGTTTAGGGTTTAGGGTTTAGGGTATGGGGGTGTTAAGGGCCCTTAAAGGGCCCGATTATGAGGCTTTGGGTGACACATAGGGGCCTAAAAGTCAATCGATGGTTTGGGGGCTGCCTTATACTGGTTTGAAAGATTCGGAGACCATGAATCAGGCCCTTTAGCACCCGGGGCCTTTGGGGCTTAAGACTTGGGGGGTTTAGGGTTTAGGGCTTCAGGGCAAATCCTAGCAAGCAGCGCTGTATAATTCAACTAAGCTGAGGCAAACGTTGTTGGGCTGTCTGGGCCGGGTTCAGCGATCGCGGCCTTTGCAAATTGAAGAGGCTTTAGCCTTTGGCCACCTCCCTTGATCTCGTCGCTGCTCTTGTGCCTGTGCTGGAACAACTTCCCCCTCATGGCTTCGAACATTTCGGTGCTCTCGTTCACTTTCCAGATCAAGGCCATGCACGTGTTCATGATCGGCGTCGCTATAGAGTACAGTTGCCTCTTCCTGGTTGCCTCTCCACAGGTCTCTTGCATGTGCCCAGTGTGTCCTCCGTGGCGACGGAGTCGGAGTCTTGAAGCCAGGACATATACTGGTTCCGATAGGCTTCGCTGCAATCCGCCCGAGGCTGTGCTCTCTTTAACGGAAAGCAAGATCAGCATGTCTTAGACGACCAATGCCTCCCTTGCCTATGATGCTTTTGCATGTCCTGCGTACTAGGACTGGGTTGCAACCATCCTGCCGGGGAAATCACAGACTCAGCCTCGCAACTCGAGAACAGGGAGGATTTCCGGGGTAAACTATAGTATACTACAATATATTTGTAATGAGGAACCCTGAGGAATAGTACCGATACTGATTCAAGCTTCTACGTTAAACCAAGCACGCGGAGCCTCGACAAGGATTCCAAATCTTGAGACTTGCCTTATCCAAGAAGTACCTAGGGGCCTTGATGATTAGAATGAAGTTTCGATGGAGGTTGTAACACAGTACGGAAGATGCGCAATCTTCATCCCGACTCTCATGTTTAAACCCCTAAACCCTTAAACCATAAACCCTTAAACCCGAAACCCTCAAACCTTACACCCTGAACCCCTTACCCCCAAACCCTTAAACCCTAAACCCCCACCATAAATCAAACTTTATCAGACACTCATAAAGCCTGTGAAGTCCCTATGAACACTTGTCCATCAAACAGACAAAGCCTTTATACAGCCCCCTAAACCCCACACCCCAGGCCCTAAACCCTAAACCCTATTAAACCGTAAACCCGAACCTTAAACCCTTAACCGCAGCCCCTCTTGGGCCTTACTGTGACTGAGCCCGGCACTTTGGCGGCCCAACAAGGATGGCATTGACCTTTATTTCTTTCGTTCTTTCTTTAGTTTAGGGCTAAGGGTTTAGGGTTTATCGGTTTAGGGTTCAGGGCTTTGGGTCTATATCGTTCTTACCTGATTCGTTTCCGCACAACATGCACAACAATAAAGCAACTAAAGTCGCAACAACGGCCAACAAATCCAAACAACCACAAATACCGATACCTCAACAACGAAAGCACTAAAGCCCAAAACCCGCAGGAGTTTGCGGTTTGCGGGTCAAGCCGCGCGGTCCGGGCCGTTGACGCGGTAAGGATAGATCGATGCGTCCATCTCCTTCTTCTTTGTTGCTTGGTGGTTGAAATGCTTCGGGTCTACAGGGTTTAATGTTTCGGTGCTTTGTTGTTCTAGGGCTTGTAGCGTTTAGGGCTGCAGCTGTTCGATTTTAGGGTTCCGGGCTTCAGCTTTGAATCGACGCGAAGGATTGCAAGAGCTTGAGGGCTTCGGGTGTATGACAAGAAGGGTTACTTTCACGGACCCTTTAAGGGGGTGCTATGCAATAGGGGCCCTACTAGTTCGAAGCGGGTTTGTAACCTGGGATTTGTGCATGTAGGATCTGGTCATTTAACGAGCTTCAGGACTGAGATCTTAAGGAAACAAGACTGTGTAATTAGGAGCATGCAAAAGGCCTTATGAAACCCTAAACCCTAAACCATCCCAAACCCTAGGAGCCCGGTCAACCCTAGAAGCTGTAAGCCCTAAACTTCTCTTGTGACCTGCAAAGCAACAGCTTAGGGTTTTCGGGTTTGGGGTGTCGGGTCTACTACTGCCTTATTGACGCTGCTGCTGCGACTGCCCCAGTACCAAACTCTAGATCTTCAGCCTGGACGTTGTGAGCCCGCGCTTCTTTGATTCAGCGGCTTGGAGCGGAGTGTAGCGAGTTGCCAAACCCGCCCAACAATCCCTAAACCCCTGCCGCTAAACACTTTCCGGATCCCGTCTAATGTGTTCTGGAGGATCTATACGGGGCTTCCTACACAAACCCTAAGCCTCACAGAACCCTACAAACCCCTTCTCGAAACCCCTACCACACCCTGTTCGAACCCTAAACCTAAGCCCCTGTCCTCTGGAGGATCTGGCTGCTCTGCGATGGCCTCAAGCGCCACGAGCTCCTCGGCGGCACCTGTACTGAATGGTTATAGTTTACAGGGTTTGAGGTTTAATGGTTTAGAGCTAAGGGGCTAGATTCTTGTGAACCCGATGATATTCACTGAAAACCCTTACTTGATGCAAAAAACATCCCCAAACCCTTCTGGGGTTTAATCAAGTCTGTTGGGTTCAGGGTCGCAAAAGCATATACGGTTCAGGGGCGACCTGCAGGACCCCAAACTACGCCCCATACACCAGAGTTTCAAGGCATATACTTCATACATCTATGTACATTAAGTTATATACTCTCTGTACACACACACACATATATGTGTGTATATACCCTACATACTACACAGACTCTCTCCCTCTCTCTCTCTCTCTGTATATATATATATATATACCCACACCTAGACATGATGACACTGTCTACTCCGCCGCCACCACAGCTGGTCCCCTCGGACAGCATCCCAAAGCCGGGCAAAGACCCAGAGTTTGCGGAGCAGCCCGAGGAGGCGCTCGAAAGCCATTGTGTGTGCACACATTCTGCTACAGGGTTTAAGGTGTATAGGGCTTCAGGGGTTTAGGGGTTTAAGGGGTTGGGGTTTTGGGTTTAGGGCTTAGGGGTTCAGGGCTTAGGGTCAGAATGAAGGCAGACTAGCGATACCCGAGCTTGGGAACCCGCGAACGTTTGAAAAGGGAGCCCTTCTTGGTTCTGCCATCGTCGTCTTCCGAGTCGGTGCTCGCTCGCTTTCGTCCGATCAATTGCGCGATTTGTCATAGCAGATTGCCTCACCCTCGAGCTTTGGGAAGAAACACGTCCTTTCCATTTGCCCCCGGCTCAAGATGTCGGCCAGCAGCATTAATCATGAGAAGAAGGCTCTGGGGTATATGAGAGCATAGTGATACAGGGCTGGGCTTTGAGTCCGGAAAGACTGGCGACCGTTTATATAGGGCGACTGTTTAGAGCTTGGGCTTGTGCTGCACTCGGGGTCTTAAGTTTCACTGTCTCTGTGCAATTGCAAGGCTTCCAGATTCAAACCCAAAACCCCAAACCCCTAAACAGCTCAAGTGCTACCTAAACCCCTAAGCTGACCCCCAAATGTACCTTCTACCATCGCCACCAGATATACTACGAAGGGAAGGAATAGGGAGCCGAAAAGCACCAATTAAGCATCAACTGAGGGAAGATCCCTACGGAGGCGTAGCTTGCAATAGCTCATATGTAGATGCCTTTTCAAGCGCTTAACAAAAGGCCTCCACTGCACTATCCCCTAAACCCTAAACCCCTAAACCCCTAAACCTCTAAACCCCTGAACCCCTAAACCCTGAACCCCTAGACCCTAGGCCTCCACTATCCCCTAAACCCTAAACCCCTAAACCCTAAACCGCAAACCCCTAAACCCTAAACCGCTAAACCCCTAAACCCCTAAACCCCTAAACCCTCAACCCCAAACCCCTAAACCCTAAACTCAAATTAAAGATACCTCAGGGCCTTCTGAAAGACCCCCTGCGGCCCTCAAGCCGAACGCCCAAGCCCTACACCCTCATTACGTTTAGAAGGCTTCGAATGTTTAGGGTTTATGGTTTAGAGTTTAGGGATGCTTAGGGGGTTTAAGGGTTTAGGGTTTAGGGATGTGTAGGTGTTTTAGGGTTTAGGCTTTAGGGATGTTTGGGGGGTTTAGGGTTCAGGATTCAAGGATATTCAGTTGGTTTTGAGGGTTTAGAGGGTTTAGGGTTGAGAGTTGAGGGAGTACTCAGCCCGTCATGTATAAGAAACCAAGCCACCAGGCCCTTATTCCTAATTTGTATTCTTGATCCCTACAGCTGAACAAAAACCCAAAATGGACCCTAAACCCTAAACCCCTAAACATCCCTACACCCTAAACCCTGAAACCCTAAACACCCCTAAACCCTAAACCCCTAAACATCCCTACACCCTAAACCCTAAACTCTAAAACACCCCTAAACCCTATAGTACTCTAAACACCCCTCAACCCTAAACCCTAAACCCTAAAAAGCCTACACCCTAAACCCAAAAAATGGCATTCGCAACCCACTGAGATCCCGCACGCGCTTCCAGGGCCTCAGCCTGCTAGCAGGGTGCGAGGCTGCCAGCTCTTAATGTAGGGGCCTTGGGGTTTTAGGGGTTTAGGGTTTGGGGTTTGGGGTTTAGGGTTTAGGGTTTGGGGTTTAGGGTTTGGGGTTTAGGGTTTAGGATTTGGGGTTTAGGGTTTGGGGTTTAGTGTTTGGTGTTTAGGGTTTAGGGTT